ATCAGTCTGGGCTGCAGAGGAAGGCTGGGGTATCTGTCGTGGGCCAAGCCAAGCCTGGTGTATGTCTGGTGCCACATGCGCCCCTCTGAGTGGCCTCATTGCTTCAAACTGCTAAAAATAAAATTCGCAGTGGAATTTCCTCTGAGGAGGAAACAGAAACAGAGAAAACAAAATCCCAGCCCTGAGGGAACACTCGTCCTTCTGTCTGCGTCCGGGAAGTCTGGGGGTGTGTGGTGTTCTCAGCTACCCTGCTCACCCAGGCCCTTTGTGACGGGCTCAGCAGAGGGTTCCATCGAGAGGCCCCCCACTCAGGGACCGGAGGGCCTCTGAGAATGTGAGTGTAAAGAGGGTGCCACAAGCACCCCTTGTGAAGAGCCTCCTCTGTGAAGCCACTGCACAGAACAGAGGGTCTATAGCACGCTAGGCACTGCCCACACCACTGCGCTGGGCACAAAGACCGCCTGAGGTCTTGGACGCCTGGAGGGGCCATTTCTGCTCAGGTTTCAGCTGGTGCTGAGGGAGAGGTCCTCTACTGTGACAGGGCAGATCCAGTCAGTCTGCTGCCTCTGCTCACCAGTTCCTGCCCTCCTGTGTCCCAGGGACAGTTTCCTCTCTGGCAACCTCTGCTCAGCTCAACTTCCACCTCCTCCAGGAAGCCCTGCCTGATTCTTCTGGGTGAAAGTAGTCATGTCCACTCCCGTTTTTCCATAGCACTTGGTGGAGTCCAGCACTTAAGGCTGACTATGCTATTTAAACCTGCATAAAACATTTGGGGGTGATCTGCCATTTGGAGGCAGCAGAGGAGAAGATGCCACCAGCCCAGGAGGCAGGAGTTGGAGCCTGGCTTTGCCTCCCCCTGCTATATGACTTTGGTCTAGGCGCACCTCCTTACTGAGCCCCGATATGACACTTCGAGGTAAAATGGAGCTATCACCCCCACTTGTGACACAGGATATCACAGGATCAATGAGGCTATAGATGTGACTGTCAAGCTCAGAAGCGTAGGGGCTCGGGGGTTCATTTCTAGGCAACACATTTCAGAGGACATCACAGATACATAGACCGAGGGCAGACTCCAGAGGGATGTGGTCAGCATCTTTCCACACACGAGGTCGGACAATTAAGTTCGCGAACTTGTTGCAACGATGTTGCTAACCTTTTTTGATATCAGAGGGATTATTCATTATGAATTTGTACCAAATGGATGAAAAGTTAACCAAGTTGACTATTAGGAAGTGCTGAAAAGGCTGCGTGAAAAAGCTAGATGAAAATGACCGGAACTTTTTGCTAACAATTCATGGTTCCTTGCAACAATGCACCATCTCACACGGCACTGTCTGTGAGGGAGTTTTTAGCCAGTAAACAAATCACTGTATTGGAACACCCTCCCTACTCACCTGATCCGGCCCACAGTGACTTCTTTCTTTACCCGAAGATAAAGGAAATATTGAAAGGGAGACCTTTTGATGACATTCAGGGTATCAAGGGTAATACGACAACAGCTCTGATGGCCATTCCAGAAAAAGAGTTCCAAAATCGCTTTGCAGGGTAGATGAGGTGCTGGTGTCAGTGCATAGCTTCCCAAGGGGAGCACTTCAAAGGTGACCATCGTGATATTCAGCAATGAGGTATGGAGCACTTTTTCTAGGATGAGTTCACGAACTTAATTGTCCGACCTTGTATGCAGGACTGCCTCAGGGAACAGGAGGCTGACTGACTTGACTTTTGTGGCCTTAAGGGAGGCAGACTTCAGCGCAGTACAAATAGGAAAGCAGTACAATAGTCAGAGTCCCCCCTGGTGGAAGCAGTCAGCTCATGGAGGAATGAACTCCCTATCACTGGAAGGACAGAATGCCACCTGGCAGGAATCCAGTACAGAACGGAAATTGGACTAGACAGCTTGACCTCCTGTCATTTTCTGATTCTAGAATGAGTTAAGGCATTATTGCAAGCCCTTGGCAGTAGATGCCAGCTTGCTTTTGACCTTGAGCGGCCTCAGAGGGACGAGAGAGAGAAACAATCCCATTCACAGGATCACAGGCAGACAGAATTCAATGTTCTTTCCCAGCCACCAGGTCATCTGCTACTTCATTGTCACTTCTACCAGAAGGCCGTTCCAGGCAAGAGCCAAGTCTCCAACTAGGTCAACAGTAATCCTTTAATATCTGCTTCTTACATTACCTAATCAGTCCGTGGCTCTGAGCACTTCTTGGAGAGATATTAATCTAATGACATCAGAGGATGAGGCCAAACTGATAAGCAGATGGCATGGAAAGGGGTTGCAAGGATGGGCACCTCTGGACTCAGCTCAGCTGTCTCTGGCCCCGCCCCTCCACCCACCTCCAGTTCCCAGGCTTCACCAGATGCACAGACAAACTTCGCAATTACCACACATGAAAGTGTTGACTTATAATCAGCGGCTTTTGTTTGGTAAAAAGTCCCCCAAAGTTCCTATCAGGGTGAGGAGCTGGAGGAGTCCCTGGTCTTTCCGCTGGTTCACCCTGCCCCCGAGCTTTCCCCTGGGGGTGCTGCAGCGATGACCACATCAGGTGGGGAAGTTGGGGGTGGGAAAAGGACCCATGCTTGGAAGTTGGCGTGCCCCCAAATGTAGGCAGCACCCCCTTCTACCCTGCAGCCTCTTACAGTGCCTGTAATCTCACCATTAGAGTCACTTCATTTGGTTTAAGACAGCAAGTTTCAAACTGTGCTCAGCTCTAGGAATGCCCAGAGTGCGGGGGTGGGGGGGGGGAGCGGGGGGACAGAAGAAAGAAGTAGGGTAACTAAGAGAACAGGGTTCCAGGCTCCCCTTTAATCAGAGCACTTCCACTGTCATCTGATTTCATGTTAACCAAGATGAAAAAATTAAAACCACTAGATTAAGAGATATTAAAATATCTCTTATCTATATTATTTAAGATTTCTATAATGAATGTGTATTAATTGTGTTAAGAGGCAAGCATAAAGCAAGTTAAAAAGCACAGTCCTGGGGCATTCAAGCAGGCGGGGCCTCAAGAAGCATCTAGCCCATGCCCCTCCCTTCTGCAGGTGGAGCACGGTGACCCACAGGGAGTTATGAGTCTGCTCGAGTCTCATGGTTAATTCACAAAGACACCCAAACCCAAACAGGGAGGCTTGGGAAGTTATTCCACGGATCAGTCTATCAGCTCTCACCATGCTGTGCAGTGAAAATTCTGGGAAAATGCTTTACGATGGTTCCCTTGAGGGCCTATGGAGGAGGGGCTGATGAGAAGGGGATGGGTGAGCCCTCAAAATCAACTCTAGGTGGGGAGGAAATTCCCCCAACTCTCTGAAGGAGAGGAACCACAGCGGAGAAGGGAGAAGGAAGTGGAGACTTGCCTGCCTCTGGTTCCCACAGGCCGGAAGGACAGCGGCCCTGTCAGCCATTGACCAGTAACCTGGACATCGCAGGTCCCGGAAAGGCCTTGCAGAGCCAACTGGGCTTCTTCATTTTACAGACGAAGAAACAGGCACAGGAGTCATCTCGGCCGTGCCATGAAGTATACAGAGCCATCCCTGGACATCAAGGTCCTGAGTCCTGAGGCGTGGCAAGAGGAGAGCTTTGGCTGAAAGGAGCCGGTGCCTCCCAGAGGACAGTAGAGAGGCCCTGGTCCCTGGAAAGCTCTGCACTGAGATGCCTCCGTGGGTGTCGGGGCCCCAAGTGTAAGATGACGGGGTCAGATTTACAGCAGTGGTTCTTATGGCTTTGGAGTCATGGATCAATACAAGGTTTACTTTAGTTTTTTAAATTGGGAGATTAACATAAAGATTGCCATCTTTTAATTTTACCAAGCAAAGGCTTTACCCCAAATTCTATCACTTACTATCACTATCATTTCATTTATACAAAGACAGGTAAAGGAAGAGCATACGTCTCAGAGTAAAGGTTGATTCTATAAATGGAAAACTAGCTGTATAAAAAACTCACTACAATTTCCTCATTTTCATCATTGTATAATGAACTGGTGGGAATGGACCAGTTCTGGTCAGCATTGGGCTCTACAGATGACCTGTGAGTGTCCTTCCAACCCAGAAGGGCTGGGGTTCTAAACTGTGAGGCCTGAGAACGTCTCTTTGGCCCCTCACACTTTCCAAAGCTGTCTCTTATTCCTGGGAGCACAGCTTAGTAGAGCCTGAGAGGAAAGCTGAGAACGGCCTCTCTGTCTGAGGGCAAACGGGGCAGGGAGAACTGTCTAGATGAGCGGTTCTCAACCTTCCTAATGCCGCGACCCCTTAATACAGTTCCTCATGTTGTGGTGACCCCCAACCATAAAATTATTTTCGTTGCTACTCTATAACTATAATTTTGCTACTGTTATGAATCGTCATGTAAATATCTTTTTGTTTTTCGATGGTCTTAGGCGACCCCTGTGAAAGGGTCATTCGACCCCCAAAGGGGTCGCGACCCACAGGTTGAGAACCGCTGGTCTAAATCAACAGTTGGCAAACTTTTTGTACAAAGAGCCAGACAGTAAATATTTTGGGCTTCGAATCCTCTGTTGCAACTCAAGCAGCCACACACAATGCATAAGTGAGTGGGCATGGCTGTGCACCAATACAACTTTATTTATGGACACAGAAGTTTCCATAATTTCATATAATTTTCATGTGTCACAAAATATCATTCTTCTGTTGATTTTTTTTTCTTAATCATTTAAAATACAAAAACCATTCTTAGCTCGTGGGCTTGTACAAAAACAGGTGGAAGGCTGGATTTGGCCTGAAGGCCCCAGTTTGTGGAACCCTGGTCTAGACTGTTGTTCTTATCCTGAATCTGTCACAGATCCGCCAGGTGGCTTTGGGCAAATTGCTTCACCAATATGTTGTCAATCTCCTCACGGCTTACAAACCAAATTCACTCTAGACTCAAGACAAGGAGGGAGGTGCCTGCCACGGACTCTGCAAACAGCTGCCTACTTGGCCTCAGCCTTGACAAATGGAGAATAAGGGACAAACAGCGTTTCCTGGCTGTGCCAACGTACCTTCTCCTGAGACACAAGGCTTCCGGGGCTTACAGACTGGAGGTCATGTCCTCTGCATGTGGGACAGATCCGATCCTCGCCGTTCCTGGGGACACATGAACAAATCCAGCTGAGTGAGGCATTCTCAACTCCCAGGCACCAACCTCCATCCTGATAGCTCCGGAAGCCTTGCCCAGCATGACGTCAATGAGCGCGCAGGTCCCCAGTCCCAGGCCCACCATTCCCAAACCTTGAAAGTGCTGGGCACCCAATGTCTTCCTGTAGTTTGCAGTGAGCTTGTTTGGCAGCCAAACCTGACCCTAAGTGACTGGAGCTATTCTAGTACCTACTTATCCCACTTAGCATGAATATTTATGTTTCACTACAGAAATATTGATAGGTTTGATTATAAGGTGCTGCCCCAGTCCCCACTGGGAGAACTACATAGTAATGCACTGACTTGCTTTTCTGAAATCTGAACAATTTCTGCATTCCAAAATCCATCCGAGCCAGGGGTTCAGATAAGGGAGTGTGGATGTGTGGCTCTATTTGCTCTTCTCAGCTTTCTCTATTTGGTTTTAGTCTTTTGGTTTTAGGAATTACAGACGACCATGGCTGATTAGGACAAAAAGGTGCCCCACAGAACTCCTAGCCTGAGGTTCTTAACAAGGAATGGGTGTCACTCTGGCTGGGTGACACATGGGCCCATGGGCTTTTACAAAGCTCCCAAGTGACTCTGATCCATAGTCGGAGCCACTGTTCAGGCCCATTTTCCAGGGAAAATAAGTGAGGCCTTGGAGGACATGGGGATTGGCCACGGGTAGAGATGGTCAGGGGCAGAGAGAGCTCTTCACACCTGAGGCCTGGGTCCCTTCGACATCCCGCCTCTGCCAGGTTTTGGAAGAATGAGAGGGAAGCCAAGAGGCCCAGTGCAAAAGCCTGAGGTGAACCCAGGACAATCAGATTGACAGTAAAACCGATCAAGCTTGGACCTCCCCACTCCTACAGCCTGGCCTTTCCACCGCCACAACCTCTCCCCTCTTTCTCACAGCCTCCCACTGAGTCAAAGCATTTGAGCTTCTCAAACTGGCCTGATTCAAGTTTCCCATCTTAAGCTGTAAAGCCCCAAACAAAGGTCATGCTGGGTGGTGCAGGGCAGCTAAGGAACACATTTGCCAGGAAACTGACAAGTTTTAGGACAAGCTGACCTAATCTCTCAGTTATTGTCCTCCTCTGTAAAGTGGGATAGTAACAGTACCCACCTTTCCAAGGCTCTTTTGAAGACCCAAGGAAAGAGTACTTGGCACACAGAAGGCATATAATAGTTGCTTAAGGCAGGATGCTAATGATTGCACTGATGTCACACATCTCTGAGATATTTATATTTTAAATATAAATATACATATATTTTAAATATAAATATACATATATTTTTATGCATATGATATATAGTATATATTTTCATATATATGACATGTGTATTTATGTAAATATAACTGTATATTTACAAATACATACATATTCATATATTATCTAACACGTACATATTCATATTATATTATGTATAAATATACCATCTATAAACACATATATAAATATAGATATCTTTGTCCTCTTTAAAAGTGTTCTCAGCAAACAGTACAAGGTGATGGGTGATATCGTGGAAGGAGATATATTTGTATAACAGTTCATCACTTATATTCATTATTATAAGAACTTTTTGGAATATTACTGATTGGGCCTCGTAACAATCCTGGGAGGTAGAAAATAGCTTTATAGGCATTTTACAGGCAAGGAAACTGAGGCTTTGAGCCATGAAGTAATTTGCACCCAGCCACACAGTAAGTAAGGAGCACAGCTGGGCCTGAGGCTCTCCCCCTTCACCCTGGATGGCCTTTTACTGTGGCAGCTGACATCTGTCTGTGGCTACTTCTCCTTCCACCCATAGTCAGGAGGGGCAGTGTCAAGAACTGCAAGGAAAGGATGTGGAAACTGAGGCCAGAGAGGGGAAGTCACGCACCAAAGCCGCCAGGTCCTCTCATGCTCGCCTCCCATCAGGGGTCCCTCCCTGGCACCTTCGTTCGCCCCCCACCCTCTGCTCTTCCATCCCCTCACCTCACGTTCTCAGAGAGACAGGCGGTGCAGCAGAGGGCCCTGGGCTCTGATGGGTCCTGGCAGACGGTGGGGGGACACCCAAAGGGAAACTCGTTCTCATCGGGGGCTGGGCGAGGGCTGCTGGCTGAGCCAGAGGCCATCTTAGGGTCCCACGCTGGCCAGGGGGCCCTACTAAGCGCCTCTGGGGATGGGACCAGCCGGGTAGAGTCTGTGCTGAGAGAAGAGATGAGTTCTGGCGTGGGCCACCCTCTCTGGTGAGGAGTCTGATGACTTTATCTTCTCTCTGGCCTGTGTGGTTCAACGTCACAGCTGAGTCACAGCAGGAATGGGGCAGGAATTACCCTTCGTGGTGAAAAAAATCCCCTGGATGCTGACTGAAGGCTCTAGGAGTGTCCAGTCATTCTTTAGAGTGAGAGAGAGCAAGAGAACGAGTCAAAGAGAAAAAGCAACCATGTCATGGACTTTCAGGAACCACAGTCTGAGTTCCCCTGTCAGAGAATGTCAGGTTGCCGCTGGCTTCCTCTACTTCCTCCCCGGGTGACATCGGCAGAAGGAGCCACAGATGGTGGGACTTGTCTTTGTTTCCTTAGACCTCCAGGCAGCCTGGAATTCTTGGTGGGAGTGCTCATTGCTTGGTGGAAATCCCCAGGGTCCTGGTGTCAGATCCAAAAATGCAAGTTCCCGGCGCTTTAGCTCTGCCATATCCAGTGTCTCAGGTAAAAATCACTTCCTCACAGTGGGTCTCGGTTACCCCATCTGCAAAAAAAATGGAGATGCAACAGGTGGTCTCCAAGGCTCCTTTGCTCTAAGATTCTGGGACCCTAAGGCCAAGGCAATCAAAGGCAGTAAGAGGCCTCTGATGGCCCAGCCCTGCCCACGGCATTCCTCATCAGGGCCCTCCCCTCCTTTCAAGTCCAAGGCCTCAGAACCATACACTGCTCAGGGCCCTCCTCCCATGGCCCCACTCAGGAAGTCATAGGCGGCCACATACCGGGGACAGGCACTACCACTTTCCGGCTCTGAGGAGAACAACGCTCTAAATAAATACAAGGCTACAGGGAGTTGGTCTCAGAGGCCAAGTGGGACGCAGATAGATTGTTGTGGGGAACTATGGCTCTGGGTACACCCACAGGGGGCGGGGCATTTTCCTTCCCATTCCACAGAGCAGCCTGCTGAGAAATCTGGGGCCATGTATAGGCTCAAAGAAGCAAGACACCTGGTCCAAAGTCACACAGGCCCTGGTGGTGAAGCAGGATTTGCACCAGGTCTGTGGGACTCCACCCATATGAGAGACGAGAGAAGACAGGGGAGCCTACAGAGTCTGGCTTGGAGGCCAGAGCACCCAGCCTGTCTCCTCACCTATCAAATGGAGAAGATGCTCCCTTCACGTTTTTCTATCATGCTGGGCTGCTACGAGGGATTTTGCAAACTTTCATAGTGGTTTCAAATCATGGGCTTTGAGATCTGACAGATCCGAGTTGGGATTCTAAATGGTGGACATTTACTAGCTGTGCATCCTGGGACAAGGTCTTTAACTTCTCTGAACCTCAGTTCCTGCATCTGTAAAATGGGGATAATAATCATACCTACTTCACTTGACTGTTGTGATGACTAAATGAGATCGTGAGTGAAAGTGTGGCACAATCCAAGTAAGGTGCTTGAAAGGCTCTGACATTGTATTCTGATGATGGCCACAGCCCTTCCAGCTCAAGATCAGGGGAAAGGATTAAAATGGTAAATTTGCTTATACAGTGTTTCTACAGCCATCACCTTTACTGGAGCCTCACAAGTGGGCAAGGCAGGTCAGATGTTGTCCTCTGACCCCAGATAAATTCAACTGCCCTCCTTCCCTGGAGTGTTACTGGGGCTGCCAGCGGCCGCTGGTAAAGGAGGCATGGCCCCCTGGCACTGCAGTGTAACCAGGACCTCCACCCTCACCAGGGCCAGCCCTGGCCTGGCCCTCTCAGCAAATGACCCTGAGGCCTACTTCAGAGAAACGACAATCAGAAAGGCATTTTCTTAACCACCTTCCCCAAACCTGCAAACTTCCCTGCATGCTACCTGCTTCCTCCTTCCCTTGCGTGGACAGACACCCAAGACTTCTCTCCCCGTCCAAGTTCTGGGTCCCTTTCTCCCCAGTGCCTTTTCTCTCCCCTCTGTCTTCAATGTCTCCCTCTCTACCAGCTCCTTCCCATCAGCCTGAAAATATGTATGTCCAAGCTGCTCCATTAATAAGTGAAAAATAACAGGCACGGCTTTGTAGTGCTGTGTGAAGTACTTTTACAGGTACCATCTCATCTAATCCTCAAATGAACCTGATGAAGCAGGTCCTGCCATCATCATCCCCATGGTAAGGATGCGGGAATTGAGGCACAAAAAGGGTAAATGACTTGCCCAAGGTCTCACAGTGAGTGGAGACTCCTGAACCCAGAGCCTGTGCTCTCACCACACCTCGCGATTGAAAAGGCTCTTCACCCTCATCCCAAATCCTTCTCCCAGTTATCTTCTCTCTCCCCGCTCTTTAACAGAACTTCTAGAAAAGGTTGTCTACGCAGGCACTCGGACTCCTCACTTGAGGCTCCACGGAAACATCTCCCCAAGGATCTCACTGTGGAAGGCGCCAAACGCCCTGCGCCCACCCCAGTTTCTCTTGCACCAGCCTTCTGGCCAGCCCTTGATATGACACTTGGCCCCTCCTTTCGAATTCGCTTCCAGCCCCGCCTCCTTAACTCCTCCCACTTCTCCGGCTGCTCCTAATCTCTCTTTGACCCCTTTCTCTTCCACTCTGCACCTTCATCGGTCCCATCTCCGTGTCTCCACCCGCGGGGTCAGCCCACGTGGAGTCCCTCTGCACCGCGTACCCCCATCTCCCCAGCCTTCCACTTGTCTTTCGGGGCGACCTGGACTAGACGCCACTTCCTCCGGGAGTCTCCGTAGGCCGCCCCCAGGGTGGGGTTAGATGCCCGGCTCTCTGACCCCATCGTGCCCCGCAGCCCGCGCACAGCCCCTGCCTCCAGGATCGGTGATGCCGGGTTGCCTGCATATCCCCCAGCCCCGTTCGTGCGCCCCCCACCCCCGCCCCCGAGAGCAGGTGACTGTCGTCTCGCCACTGCCACCTCTCCAGTTGGGTGCGCAGAGAGCAGCGCCCGCGACTATTCAAGGATGAGAGAACCCCAAGGGGTGCCTTGGGCCCGGAGGAAGGGCTAGGGCAGTGAGTCCCGGGTGGGCTCTGCAGTCGCGATTCCAGGTCCCCGGCGGCGCTCGGTGAGGCCTGCACTTGGGGAGCCCCCGCCCATGCGAGCGGGAGTTAGGGCATCCCAGGCGG